CACAGAGTCTGTTCTCCCAAAGGCATGCGGCCAGCCTTTTCAACCCCCAAGCAACATGGAAGGCAGGTAAAACGTCATAGCTACTGTTTACCATGCATGATGTCAGATCACTGTTTACCATGTGTGACGTCAGGTCACAGAGGAGTAGGAGTCGCCTGACGCCACACAGCTGCGTGTGCCTGGGAGGCAGCAGCCTGCCCCTCAGTTTCCAGAGTAAGTCATTTGTCCTATTTGAAACAACTCTCCCTCACCCTGTCTGGAGTCTGGTGACTGTGTGCACTCTCTGTGAATGTCCTCCTCTTTCTAATTGCTCGACTATCTCAGTCCAAATGAGTCCTGAAGCACATACCAGCTGTTTCAGCTGGCGGTTCCTAATGCAAAGTAACATAATGAGAGTGTTCCTGTCCCGTCGGGTAATGCTCCTTCTCTGATTGTTTAAGTGCCGTTACGGCCGGGCCTCTGGCATGTACTAAAAATACACTTTAAAAATTAAATAAGGGTGTGGCTATGTTAACCCCCAACACCTCACCAACGAGGTATGTGGTAAAATCCCACTTGGGCAGTAGAAGCAAGAGGATAAGCTTGAAGTCTCTCTGCACAGTGAGGTCAAGAGCAGCCTGAAGTATACTGGACGTTGTCTGATTTTATTGCTTATGCTCTGATCTTCAGGCCGTTCTGTTCTTAAACTATGTTTCTACATATCTGAAACACAAGAATATCGAAACCCCAACTTTTAGAGGAAGGAAAGGATAGGGTATTTTTTAAAGAGAGGAAAGGACAGGCGTTGGGCGTCAGCGACAGAGTCTTTGGTGCCAGCGCTTGGAAGAAAGGTCATCCATTCCGTAATACTGGGGAGTTCTGCTCTGTCCTGGCACAAAGACCATGAGGCCACCTCTCATTACTTCGTCATGAGATCCATGAAACCCCATGTGTCCTTCCAAAAGCTTTGTCCAGTTTCAGGCTGGAGGTGTGGGACACTTCCAAGATATGTTTCCTACCCTACACATTCATTAAGCTGCTTTTCACGTGGCCTTTCCAGGGCAGGCAACAACAAAAACAGATAATTTCAGCCTGGAAGACAGAGCCAAAACCCTCACAGCTCACCCCAAGACTGTCCACCCAGCCTGGACCAACGCCATCCATGTCACACCAACTCAAAAAGCATGCGAAGTCCTGCTAGCCTGTTTGTCTAGGTCACTGCTTTTCTCACTTCTTCAGCTATGCAGTTCTAATTCTTTGCTAAAAAAAAAAAGTTGCGGGCACAAAAACTCAATTTCAAATGTAAATATTTATACACAGGCCTTCTCCCTCTTTTAAACTTGTAAGTAATAGTTACATGACATAATACATTGTCCACGGGAGAGGCTTGGTGAAGTTAACTGTAAATTTAGCAGGTAAATCTCGTGTGTCCACGCCAGACTTAGGAGGCAGGAAAGCACGGTAAGGTGTCCGTGGCGGGTCTCCCCAGTGTGGATCCGTTAGCTGACCTGTCCCCAGTCTGCTCACTTACCTGGCTGGTTTTCTCCAGTCTCACTGAAAGGCACCTCTCCACTACACTAGTGTACAGCTGAAGCTTTTTTCTTTTTTACACTTATTTGGGGGTGTGTGTGTGTGTGTGTGTGTGTGTGTGTGTGTGTGTGTGTTACATACATGGGCCTTTTGTATATGTGGAGGTCAGAAGATAACTTACCAATACCTCGTCTCTCCTTCTACACCTGGGTTCCAGAGGTCAAACTTGGGTGGTGAGGATAGGTGGCAAATGCCTTCATCCAGTGAGCCATCTTGCTGGCCCATTTTGTTTTGTTTTCTTTCTTTAATTTTTTTCCTTTTAAGTCCCAAAGTTTTGAAATAATATGCACACAGATTGTCCCCCCCTAGGAGATGATGTCCCTCATACCAGATGTATCTTAGATGTAGTTAAAGGAAACAATCCAAAATGAATAGTCAGTGTGCCCAGCAGGGAGCATATGCCTGTTCTGTAAAGAGGATGTGCCAGCCTGACCTCATGTTCTCAGAGCACCTCCAGTGTGTCAGTCTTAGTGAGCAACCGCGCTTGTCTGCATCCTCCCTAGCTAAATAGATTTCAGTAAAGTGTGACTAATTAGGTCCTGTGGGCTGACCTAATGGAACCCAACAGGCAGGGTCACTGGGGTCACAGAAGCATGAGTCTGCAGCTCCCAGGGCAATGTAACAGGATCTGCCCTGGCTCCGGAGGGAGGGCATGGCCCGGAGGCTATCTGGTAGCCAAGGACACTGCTGGGACTTCAGAATCACAGCACAAGGACGTAATCGAGCGCCACCCCAGGACACTTAGCTAGGCGATCATTTCATCCATCTTTTATTCATCAACACGGGAACACATTTTCTTTGGCAGTTCTCTTTGCTCTTTCAGGTTTCACCAGCATTCTAACCAGAATTCTCCTTTATGTCACAGAAGGCACGCCTGGCATAAGGCATCTTGTCACTGTGGATGTAATTACTAGCCCTGGACTGGGACAGCACAGTTGCTGTTCCTCCCCGAGCCAGCATGAGCAACTGGCACTTCAGGACAAGCGTTTAAGTTGTTCTTCGAGCCCCATTAAGGCTGAAGTTGACAGAGGTGCTGGACAACCCTGGACTCTGAGGCAGAAATAGAGCTTACTGGCGATGGGCTTCGCCGATGGGCTTCATTGCCTCATATGCACTTATCACTTAAACCTTGAAGGAGAGTAAAAAGAGTAGGCTTGCTCCCCTGCTTCTTGAATGTTAGCATTTCCATGGGAAATTCTTAGCCATGTCAAATCCAGCCACAGAGAGAGACCACCTCAACTCCATATAGCCTTTCCACGGCATCCTGACTCCTCCTCAGCCCTCACTGAGGAGCAGAAATGTGACGCTTTCACCAGACATATCTCTGGTACTTCTGAGGACTGCATTTCACTCATTATTCTGTCCTGGGCTCTAGCGTGTCCTTGGATACCTGGGTGCCAGGCTTTATACCAAAGGGAAAAGCGACAGAAGCATTGGAGTCGGACTCCCGTTTTTGGCCTCACTAGCTACTCAGGCATGATAATTCTCGTAGCTGTACAGTGGTGGTGACAATAGCAATAAGAACGGACCCTGTTATCATCACAGTTACGTGAGCATTAGCTGTGGTTCACATTCCCTCTCCCCCTTTTACAGTAAACTGTTGGGGAGGCACACATACAGAGGCACAGGTATAAAGGTCAGAAGACAACCTTGTAGGGCCTTTTCTTCCCTCTAACCTTTACTTGGGTTCTTGGGGTCAAGATCAACTTGCAGCCTTATGCATGCAGCAAGTACCTTTATGTAATGAGCCACCTCCCCAGTCCTTACAGTCTCTTGAGTTTAGCTGTGACCCATTATTTTTTTATGGAGTAAGGGGAATGATGGGCCCTGGGTACTGTCTTTTTCAATTGAAGAAGAAGAAGAAGAAGAAGAAGAAGAAGAAGAAGAAGAAGAAGA